GATGTGGTTCAAGTGGTTAGATTGCCTGCCCTAGCAAGCACAAGGCCCTGAGTTCAAACCTCAGTACTGCAAAAATAAATAAATTAGTTAAATAAATGGTGCTGTGCAAAGGATCCATGTCACTCTGAAGTGAAAGAATTGGAGCCCAGTACCTGTGGCCTGCATTAGCTTGACCTCTGCTCTTTGGCTACACTGGCCTCAGTAGAAGCTGTTTCCTGTACACATCCCACTGGCTTTTCTCCTCATCCTCTCCTCCTCATTTTCCTGGGGATAGAAGTCTGGTTATTTCTGCATGCACAGCCACATGGCCCAGAACTGATCTATACAGTCTGATCCTTTTATATCCTCTGTGCTACAGTAGAAGCAGGAAAAAGCCAGTTTAAACTGTTCCCCACAGGTGTAGCTGGCCAGTTCCCCCAAGACACAGGTAGTTCTGTTAATATCTCCATTTAGCAGAATCAATCCGTGTTCTTCCTGCAGGTCGTTGGGGTCATCAGCCACCATCTCCAGTTCTGCATTGCTGGAAGTTTCATGGTCTCCTTTGGTAACAAATATGATTCATTTCTTCTCTTCCTGCCAGCAGTAGGCCATGGCTGCATCCGGTGCTTTGAAGAAGTGCTGGCAGTGGTATGGTAGATACACCTTCATGTGTGACCTTCTTCTCCTTAGGCACCATGGGCAGCTCTCTATTTTTATTTATTTAGTTAGTTTTTGGTGATACTAAGGTTTGAACTCAGAGCCTTGCTCTTAGCAGGCAAGTGCTCTAACACTTGAGCCATGCCTCTAGCCCTTTTTTTACCTTAGTTATTTTTCCTGACAGGATCTTGTATCTTTGCCCAGAGCAGACCTCAGACCAAGATCCCTTTACCTACACCTCTTATGTTAGCCGGGTGGCATGGGACCTAGCTGAGTTTAGGCTGTTCATATCCTCTCTCAGAGCAGCTTATTGGATGAGGAAGGACAGAAGGTAGTGACAGGCAAAGGATAGAAGGCTGAAGCACCTGGAAGTGTTAGCTTCAGAAGGAGAAAGCCAGACCTCTGGGGTCTTCTTCATAGTTGCTTGTCTGGAAAGAAAGATAGTAAGTTTCCAGCCTTCCTGGGTAAGAATCAGAGAAAAGCCTGAATATCAGACAGGGGCTGGACCCTGTCCTTTGCAGATGGTTCTGACCCCAGGGTCTGGGACTCAAGCCTGGTACTCCTGGATCCTGTGGATCAAGGACAATGCCTGGCCTCAAGCTGCCCTGTCCATGACTGGTAAGGGGGGAGGTTGAGTCTCCCAGCCAGAAGCTTCCTTAGCCCCACTCACCACACTGGTGTAATTACACCCTAAGGAGCAGGATCAATGGATGCCTGATGCCTGATTCATAGTCCAGGGCAGAAGATCAGAGAGTGCTGGCCCCAAGTCAGCACAGTGGCTACAGCTGTCATGTAGGGGGCATTTACCGTGGACATCTCTAGCCACCACCATCCCTGTCTGACCAACAACCTCCATGTGTCCCTGAGGGCCCCTGTGATCTCCAGTTCTGGCTCTGAAAGGACTAACCTGGCCCGGTCACTGACCAGAGATTAGAATAGCTTGGTGGATGGTTAATGCCACTGACGTCAAGGTCTGGCTGGATGACCACTGGAGGTTTGTGCCCTCCCTAAAGGCAGCAGTACAGCCCATGTGACCTGGACTCATTAAGCCGCTTCAATGGCCAAAGAAGCTGGGGGCCAAATCTTAGAGGAGAGAGGTCAGGCATGCCAGGGCTGTAGGGGCAGGCCTCAGCCCCAAGCTCTGGGGGCCCAGGTTGGGGAAGAATAGATAGGAGGATTCCCTATGGGTCTCCTCAATACCTCTACAACCTGTATTGTGACACTAAACCTCTGCTCATACCCAAAAAGCAGACTCCCACGCACCAAACCAAGCAGAGTGCAGTCAGGAATGTGAGCCTGGGTCCTCCACCCTGGGGTGTAGAGCAAGAACTACCCTCTATTTGCTCTTCTGTGAAGACTTCAATGATCCCAATGACTCTTAAGCAAGCATTATGCCCCCGTTTACAGCCCTGCCCCTGGTTCCACCCACATCCCCCTTTCCACCGCCTTGAGCGCCCTTTCTCTTCCCCACACTGGCATGTGTCCTATTTCCCCTTGGCAGAGCCAGGCCCATGTGCCCTCAACCTGGGGTACATGCTTCTCTATCTGGCTTTCATTGATTACAGACCTTGATCCTGGCAGATGCTGTCACATCTTAGACCCCCAATAGATAGCATATAGAGAGGTTGCAGCTGGGACTCTGGGTGGGATGGTAGGGCAGCCACAGTGTAGAGATAGCTGTTCTTCCAGTGATTCAGGCAGGGTTCTATTTGGGTATAAATAGATCTTCTACTTGGGTGCTAAATGAGAAGCAGGAGTTTGCCAAGGAGGTAGGTCTGGGTGAAGACTTCAAGTCTTCAGAGGTACAGAAGCAAAAGGGTGGTATGTTCTGGGAACAGCAAGACCAAGCATGGTCAGCTGGGTTGGAATCGGGGAGGGCGGAGACTGGGAGCAGATTAGGGATAGCAGAGAGGACAATTGGGTGTGAGGGTAGGGTCCTTCAGGGTGTCCAAGCAACCCATTGATCCAGATGTTGGGCTCTAGGAAGGTCTGAGTTGGAGGTGAAGATGGATCGTCAGTGTTGGAGAAAGGTTTGGGGGCAATGCGGGAGCAGAAGCGGTGGCATAGTAAGAAGAGGCTGCCCTGCTGGAGGTTGAGTTTTCATGACTGGAGAGAGTGGAAGAGAGAAAAGGACTGTGTGACCCTGGAAGGAGAGTCTGAGTGATCCTGGGATCCTAAATTCTACCTCATGTGTCTGGCAGTCTCCTGGGCCTGTGATTGAGATGTGGAGATAGGGGAATGGAGGTAGGGCTGATGCCAGAGATCAAGTCCCCCCCATCCCTGCTGAGATGGCTGCCCTCAACCAGAGGTAGGTGCATGAATGGGCATTTCCTCCAGCCTCTGGGAGAAGGTGTCTGGTAGATTTCAGAGTCCCATCCTGGCTGCCCAGCTGTCCAGTCACTGCAGGCTGGGCTGGGAGATTCGGCAGGTGGTGGGAAAGGCCTCAGTGCTGTGTTTGCCCTGGCGGGGGCCCAGGCCTAGCAACAACAAACAGTCAGCCCCTCCTCCAGCCTGGCCACAAATGGCCTGACGGAGGGACCCCACATTATATAGGCCTCTGGGCCTCCCACAGCAGCCTAGCCCAGCTAGCCCCTACTGCCTCCAATCTGGACTGAAAACCCCAACACTCACTTGTTGAGTGACCTTGAGCTAGTCTTATCCACTCAAGAACTGCCAATGGGAGCCACCAGTTCTTTGTAAATGGCTCCTGTAGGCATCAAGGGTGTCTCTGTCTTATGCCATTTTGGTTTGGTTCAATTTTCTTTCTTTCTTTCTTTTCTTTCTTTCTTTCTTTCTTTCTTTCTTTCTTTCTTTCTTTCTTTCTTTCTTTCTTTCTTTCTTTCTTTTTTTAAAGATAAGGTCTTACTATATAGCCCAGGCTGGCCTTGAACTTGGTATGGCCACAAACTCTCCATCCTCCTGCCTTAGCCTCCCAAGTGCTGGGATTACAGTGTACACTACCACACCTAGACTCTCATGACATTTTGGAAGGTAAGAGTTAGATGGTTTTTCATGATCACAGTTGAGCTCTGGTCTGGAAATTATGCCAGCCCCAGATCAGAAAGCAAGGCCAGTTCCTTCCTGTCTTCTAGCTACCAGCAAGGTAGGAATTGAGTGGCTTGAGGTTTTTGATGGTTGCCCCATCCAAATGCCTTTTTCCTTAGCCCTTCCAGCCCCCTGGCACTTCTAGTCAGAACTGAGGCCCCTGCCCATGGCTCACAGCTCTCCTCAGGCCATGGGAAAAGACAGAGTCATTTTCCCAGAAGGAAACTGAGGTTTACTAGGGCTTGGTTGTGGTGGTGCTGTGAGTCAGCATGAAGAGAATCCAGGAGTCCTGGATTCTGGGAGTCCTGACTCCCAGCCTAGGGCAGGGGAGGGATGAGGCCTATCCTCTGAGCTGCATCCCCTGCTCCAGTGCCATGAAGGGAGGCAGATACGACATGCAGAAGTCCTGCTTGGATAGGAACAGCAGAGGTCATGGGATTAATCGGATCAGAGCCAGTGGCTGAGAAGTAAGGGGCACAGCTGTTCTGGGAGTCCCCCTCCTCTTTACTTTGAAAGGTCAATGCCTCCCCCAGCTCCCTCTGAGCACCCACCACCCAACTCTGAGCACCAAGGCCATAGTTGTGAAGCAGGCAGTGGTGGGATAGAAGCCTCCAGGCAAGAATGAGGCTCCTCTAAAGCTCTTTCCCCAGGACACCAAGTCCCAGCTCCCATTCCCCATAGGTAGGCTGACAGCAATCCTCTACACTTTAGAAGTAAAGAATTGAGGGATGGTTAGAGAGCCTCAGGAAAGATGCAAGCAAGCTTGCCTCTCCCCTCCTGTCCTCACTTCCCCTGCTCCTGTGGGCTCCTGGATAAGATACTCTCTTCTAACTATCTGGGACGAAAACAGAATTGATGCAGGAAGCCCTTCCCACCCCACCCTGGTCCCACCGCTGGTTAGGAATGGCAAGGCAGACAGAAACGGCATTTTTTGTTGCCTCAGCAATGTTTGAAAGTTCTCCATTCAAAGTATCCTTCACTGAAGTTAAGCTTTGCGGTGTCTCCACTCCTCTTGGCCCAAAATCCCCTTCTGCTTCGGTTTGATGAGGGCAGAGTATTTCAGGGGTTAAGGGCAGCCAGAGTCCTTAGAGACAATCTGCTTTGGCCTGAAGCATTCCCCCAACCCACCAAGGCTCAAGTGAGTCCTCCCCGCGCCCCACCTATGGGCTCCTTCATGCTCCTGCTGCCCCTTTGCTGCAAGTCTGCCAAGCCCCGCGTTCAGCCCCTCCTCCCGCAGGCAGCCAGGGATTGGCGGGCCGGGGGCGGGCCGGGGGCGGGGCCGGGCGCCCTTCATCCCCCGCCGCTGCTATCGCTGTTGCAGCCCTGTGCTCAGCCGGCAGCGAGCAGAGCGGACCGCACCGGCCCTAGCAGAGCGCCGCGCGTGCCCACCCACGAGGCCAGGTACCGGTGGGGGCGTCGACCCACCAGCTCAGGGGAGCTGGGAGGGCAGAGCCCTACTGTTCCCCTTCCAGTTCGTAGCGGGATCTGGGCAGCTCCCCTTCGCCGTGAACCCCAAAAGCGCCCCAGCTACCCGCGAGTAGAGCCCCCAAGCGCTCCAGGGCACGGGTTTACGGACCCACCAATCGGGACTCCCGTTCAGAGTTTGAGTTAGGGTCCCGGGAAGGGCATCTCGTCGACTAGGGGCTTCTGGGCAGGACCAAGCTGGACAGCACTGTTCCCGGGGCTGGGATCATAGGACATCTAGCTGGGGGCTCGGGAGGCACCCGACTGGCTTCCTGGGGCAGGACCCATAGAAATGGGCTGGAGAGGGTCGCGGAGGACCACCCAAGAGGAGCCTAGAGCAATCCCTGGAGCGCTACCCAGACGGGCTCCTGACAGGCAGAGCGACCGGCTGGCACGCTGGGAATCTGGGTGTATTTATCCCGGCCTTGTTGGGCAGGGTATGAGGGCAGATAGGGCCGGCCAGCTTGAGGAGCCACGGGGTACGTGCTGGCCCCACAGCCAGTGCCATTTGCAATGGGTTCCAGTGGGCACGGCGGGCGCCAGGCTCGTATGGCTCTCTGGCCCGAGGGCGGGGTGCCATGGGCGCTCCTCCCCACCTGCCTACCAGGCGGGGGTGTAATTGAGAGGCGGCCCAGCTGAAGGCGGAGAGGAAGGGACGGAGACTCGGTTTGCATGAGCCCGCCCCCGCGGGATTGGCTTCTTCCATTGGCCACAGCGAATGCGTGCGTTTGTTTACACTCGAGGAGGGGGGGGGGGCAGGGGTAGGACCTGTGGGGATTTGCCCTTTTCCCCACTGTGACCTGAGTCCTAAACCCAGGTATGGACTCCCCAACAAAGTTGAGGAGGTGTAAGGCAAAGTTGAGGAGGTGTAAGAGCACTGTGGAGGCATCTCCTTTCCCTTGTCCATTCTTCCTGCAGCCTGCCAGCCCTGTTCTTTTTTCTGACTGCCTCCCACCATTGCTCTGCTCCTGGAAGAACCCCTTAGTACATAGTCTGGGACAGTGGCTTAGTTCCTTCTGGAAGGGAGGCCAGTCCTTTAGAGCACTCTCTACAGAGCAGAGAGATCCATGCACAGCTCAGTTTTGAAGAGGGAGCTTCTGCCTAGCCATGGAAGCCTTTCCTAGGAAGCCCCAGTGGTGGGAGGAATCAGGAGCCTATGGGGCCTGGCTGCCACATCTCTGACAGGTTTAAATGACTGAAACCAGGAATGGCAGGGATTGAAAGCAGAGGCTGAGTCTCAGAACTTGCTTTGCCTGGGCCCATGGAGCCCATGTCCTCACTAGCCTTCCAAGCTACTCTGTTGAATGCTGGTTCTTATGGCCTGTGTCACAAGTCCACCCCACCCCGGGGCTCCAGATGGCCTTACGAGGATTGTTGGTTGCTTCTGTATTTGTGCCACTGCCTCAGAAAGTTAGCTTTAGAGCCCTAGGCAAATGGAGAAACTGAGGCATGATGAGACAGGCAGGTGATTCATGTTCTCTGGGCTAGACCAGGGAAGGAGTTTAAGCTGAACTAAGCATACCCTGGAAGTCTGAGGTAGGTGTTGGGGACATTCAGTTTGAGGGAAAAACATTTGCAGGGGAAGGGGTGGTGTTCTACTGGGTAGATCCAGTTTGCACATACAGTGCAGAAAGCTGTGGTGGGATGTGCATTCTAGTAGTATGTGGGCCCTGTGGGAGAATGTTCTAGTACAAACATGGCCAGGGGCCAGGGCCTCACTTAAAGCAGGTAAGATAGGCCAAGGGCTTGTTCTGTGCCCTGTACACACTCAGTCTGGAGGGTGGAAGAGAACTGAAGAGGTGAACCTTTGACTCTGGATGGGAAGACAGACATTGGAGGGCAGGGTGGGGCTCTAGAAGACCAGGCAAGGCTTCTGGGGGCCAAAGGGAAGGACCAGCTGCTGGGGCAGGAGGGGCTTTCCTGCCAGTGGCCCAGAGTTGCTTGGTTTTGAATTTCCGCTCTGCGGGCCACGTCCTGTACACAGCCTCTCAGCCAGCACGTCTCCACCAAGTATGGCCTCTGATAATACAAGTCACTCCGACTGCCTGTCATCTCTGTATGTCTTTTCCGTTGTTCAGGTAGATAGGCCTCAGGTGCTGGCCCCAGGGTCTCTGAGCGTTCTAGCTGAGCCTGGGCTTATGACACTAGTAGGCTTGGCCACACCTTCTGAATGACATTGCACCTGGCTGGTGGGGGCATAACCTGGCCCTGTGGAGACCTGGAGATGCAGTGGTGGTGTTCTTATGGCCTCTAGAATTCTGTCTGGCCATCCCTGCATGCCCACTGGACCTGCTGCCTCACATGGGCATTTTGGTTCCCTCTTCCCTTCTTGATTTTTCTGGGACTCTCTATCTTTTGTTGGTTGTCTCTTTTCAGCTCTTGCTGTCTGTCTGTCTTTCTCCATCTGACTATCTAACTGGTTAGCCATCTCTCTCTCCATGCCTTTTTTTTTTTTTTTTTTCTCTTTTTTTTTTTTTTGTCGGCCTTGGGGTTTGAACTCAGGACCTCAGGCTTAATAGGCAGGCACTCTACCAGTTGAGCCACTCCACCACCAGCCATCTCTCTCTCAATTCTCTTATCTCCCTGTCTGAATGTCTATTCATCTATCTGCATGTGATTTTTGTCTCTTTCTCTTTGTTTTCCTCTGTCTGTGTCCTTCTATATCCATCCACATTTCTCTAACTCCCAGCCCCTCTGTCTGTCTAAATCAGTGTGCACAGCCTCATGTGTCAAGTGTATGTGTTTTCTCTTCCTGATCCCTCCCTGTCTATCTCTTTTCCCTTCCTCTGCCTTTTTCTGCTTCTTCCTGATGTTGGATGACCTTGTCTTTACCCCCGCTCCCAACATCAGGGTCTACAATGAGTCCTGATGAGCTGTCCGAGGCCGGCGTTTCAGCTTTCTTTGGGACTAGCAGTCCGGCTGTCCAAATATTTGGCGGCCTCCAGGGGATTCCGGGTCAGCAGGGAGGGAGATGGGCTGGCTGGCGCAGGGTCTCCCCTGTCCCTGGGGGGCTATAGTCACGTGATGTCCTGTCCTTTGCCTCAGCTGGGTCTCTGGCTGCATGTCCCTCTCAGCAGGTTAGCAATGGGAGGAGGAGGGGGCCCGCTGCTGGCTCTTGCCAACTTGAGCCAAGAAATTCTGGCTGCAACTTCCACTGGAGGCAGCCTGAGCAAGGATGGTCCAGGCCTGGGTGGTAGGTGAGGCGAGGTGCCTTGTAAGCATTTGTTGGAGTCTAGGAAATGTACCCTGTTGCAGGAAGATCTACCTTCCAGCCCCAGCTGGGCCTCTCAGATCCTCCTAGACACTTCCAGATGCCCCAAACAAGGAACAGACCCCACATCCCAGGGCCAGGGATTTGGGGGATGACAGATTGGCACACCCCCTCATACATGTGAACCCTCAGTACCAGCCTAATTGGCCACATACTGGCCACTTGTTGCATTGGTTTTTTGTCATTGTTTTGTGGTACTAGGATTTGAACTCAGGGCCTACACCATGAGTCACTTCACCAGCCCTTTCTTGTAAGGGTGTTTTCAAGATAGGGTCTCCCGAACTATTTGCCCGGGCTGGCTTCAAACCACAATCCTCCTGATCTCTACCTCCTGAGTAGCTAGGATTTCAGGCATGATGGCGCCCAGCCACTTGTTGCACTGTTGTGTTATGTTGTGTTGTTGATGTTTAGGGAAAGACAGGTGGGGGACTAGGATCTACTAGGATCAAAATCTGAAATTGTTAAAAAAAAAAAAGTCTGAAATTGTGAGCTGGTAGAGGGGCAGAGATGTCTTTTAGTGCTCTCCCCTTTACTAACAGCCTCCCTTGGCCCTTGATCTCCGGCTTCAGCATCAGCTCCCAGCAGCCCCTGTGGATATGTATGACTAACATGCAATTCTAATGCATCAATTGCATCCTATTTCCCCAGTGACTTAAGCTTTGTCTTCCCTCTGTAGCCTGGAGAAGTAGGTGGGCAGGGGGAAGCTGTCTAGCGAGGCTGGGAGGGTTACCCTGTCTCCACCAAGGAGAGTGGTAAGAATGGGCTGAGCTAGAACTGGGGACAGTGCAGTCCTCATCCCTGTGCCATCAGGGATAGCCATGGTGGACCTTTAAGCCAGGCCAGCTGCTTTTCCCCAGGTCCTCTTTGGGCTGAGGTTTGGGCTACCTAAGCCCAGCAAGTTTAGGAGCCAAACAGCTCAGTGAGTTCTGTGCTCCCATCAGCACGTGTGGGCCCAGAGCCAAAGAAAAAACAGTGTGGCTGCTTCCACCACTGCAAACCCACTTATGTCCCTGAGCATCAGGGAAGAACCCTGGGGACTCCAAGGTCCTTGATCCCTATATGTGCCTCCCATAGTGGCTGATGCAACCAGCCAGCCCATTGTGGCCTGGATTCCTAGGCCTAGAAGTCTTTAATTAGCCAAACTCAACACCTGCCAAGGTGTGCCTGACAAATTCTCACTGTGTGACGCCTGCGTGGGCAAGTGTTACCTGCTGTGCCATCCTGCAGCTCCTACCCCTCCTGGTCCTTATCTCACAGCAAAGCAAACAGGCCGCAGAGCAGTGGCCTGGGACATTGATTTACTGCCAGGCCCATACTGCACCCATGACAGATACCATTCTGATGACTGCCCAAGGTCTCAATAATCTCGTGCCCTAAGGTTTGACCCGTCTCTGGGCACCGTGGCCTGCTGTGGAGGAGAAGACCTCAGGGAGGCTCCTTGCTCTGGCCTCAGCTTTGGCCAGGCCTCATGGGATCCCTAGATGTTGGGAGACGCTGGTGTCCTGATTGGGGAGTACTCCGCCCATGGTCACACAGTGAGGTCCTAGCCTCGGTCTAGTCCAGGCTTTCACATAATTGGTCAGGCTCTGCTGGCAGTTTTCCTTAAGCAGGGGCTCTCCCCTAAATTTATCCTGTTTCTCTAATATGAAGGAGCCTGGGAAGCAGCAGGCCTGAGGGGTGAGAGCTGTCAAAGATGGACTTCCAGCCTCAGTAAATGGCTGGGGTACCACATGAGAGGCAAGAACTAATTCCCACTCTGGGCCCCTGCCCTCAGGCCTGCCATTTACTGAGGTATAGACCTTGACCTGGGCTTTAAGGCTCTGGCTTTGGCGGCCTTCATTCCACCCGCACCACCTACCCCATACCACACCTCAGGACCTTTGCCCATGCTGTGCCCTGTGTCTGAGGTTCTCATTTCCTGTTCCACACCTCAGAGCTCCTACTGGAATTTTAGGACAGGCTATGTTCACTCCTCTAGGAGGCCTTCCTTGATACTTCCCCTCTCCCCCTTTTCTGCACTGGGCTGCTGGAGATGGAGCCCAGGGCTGGTACACTCTAGGCAGGTGCTTAGTTTCTTAGCTACATCTCCAGCCCTCCTCTCCCCTTTTGTGAATTCCTGCAGGGTGTGGCTCACACTCATTAGGAGCTAGAGGGGTAGAATTTGCGAGGTTTTCCCTTCCAGACTGGAGCTTAGTTGAGGAGAGGTATTCCATGTCCTTTCCAGGATTTTGGGCCAGCTTAAGACCCAGCAATAACTGGTCGTGAATGAATAATAGACACCAGGCCCCAAAGGTCTAGTCCCATATCTCACAGGAGGTTAGGGAACCTGGAGTTAGAACCTCAGAGACCTCCCACAGCCTGTGCCCTGAACTGGAGGTGGTACCCAGCGGCTAGGTGTTCTGAAGGGACACTTCAGCCAGAACATGACGCACCCGCTGCACACACCAGCCCAGGCAAGCCCCTCAGGACAGAAAAGAGTGCTTTGTCCAGACTGCCGGCTCAAACTCAACACAACACTCTTAGGGCTTGTCTCAGCTTGCCTAGGGCCAGGGCCTGGGCAAGGCCAATGAGTTCTAGGGGGCGCTCTGGAGGGACTTTGGAGACCTGGAAATCTGTGCACACAGGAAGGATCCTTGAAGAGGCGCTGATGGCAAGGCTTAGCAGAGGCATGAGGACAGGCTGGCCTAGGGAATTCTGGTCTAGGGGAAGAAGGCTCAAGAAGTGATGACATTGTCATGGTCCTGATTGGACAGACAAGTAGGAGTAGGAGGCTCAAAGCAGGCAGCTGAGAAGGCAGAGGTAGATATGGTAAGGGATGTGGGGTCCCTAGGGTCTGAACTCTGGTCTCAGGCAGTGGGCGAAGGGTCCTCTGGTCAGTGAAGTGAGGCAGTTGCCTCCAAAGGCACCAAGGCTTGAGGCCTGTGCCCAGCTCCCCTACTTGCCCCAACCCTCAGTGTGGAGTGTGAGTTCCCTGGTGCTTCAGATTCCATAGCAGACCAGAGACTATCAGGATCTGGACAGGGGAAGGGGGATATGGACAGGGTTTGGAATTCCCAGGCAGAGGGGCCACATGGCCTCAGGACCAGGTTCTGGCTGTCCTGCCTGGCACAGCCTCTCCTCCCTGTTCTTCATTCTGGCTCAGCTCTCCTACTGGATAGTTTAGACTTTAGGATGTCCTGACAGAACCTGGTTCATTATGCCTAGACACCTTCTGGGCATGGTTGGCAACTCCCAACCCAATGATGGCCAGTAAACTGTCTGGGCAGTGCATGTGGGGAGGAGGAAAGCTGGATCTTTTGAGACCCAACAGAGCCAAAGCCCTGAGAGCAGGGGAGGGGCACGGACCGGTGACCCATCTCCTCTTTAGTTGGCTAAGCCCTGGACTCCTAGCTGGAGCCTCAGGGAAATGAAGGCACTGTTTAGAGGGTGTACTAGATAGTGAAGTGTGCACCTGAGGGTTTGGGGTTCCCTGTCAGGAGAATATGACCAAGGCTGTATGGAAGGCAAGGACTGTATGGCCCAGAGAATTGAGCCCTGGAACACTCATTTCCTGGAAGGGCCCCTGAGGGCCTTTTGCCACAGCCGGGCGGGAAGGGCCCAGGTGTCCAGTCCCAGCACTGCCTCAGGCCTCCTGGCTCAAGGGGAGGTGGCAGTGTCTGTGCCTACTGTTCCCAGTGCCAGCTCTCAGCCTACAGAGGGCTCTTTGTTCTGGCTGCCAGCAGTGCCTGCCGGGCGGCTGGGAATAGGGCCCACAGCCCTCACCCTCTTCTGAGGCCTCTAGCCATCAGGCAGTGCCATTCTAGGTTGGCCAGGACACCCCTGGCACATAGGACGAGTGCAGGAACTTGTGAACCAGCACTAGTGTGGGGAGGGGAGTCAGTTCCTGGTGCACACCCGGAGCTGGACACCTGATACTTAGCATCCTTATGTCACTAGACTCTGAAGTCAGGTCATCCAGATGACCGATGCTTTAGAGATGGGGAAACTGAGGCTCCCATATCTTGCCTGGGCTGGCATGTGTAAGGGATGTGTACTGGCTGAGGTGTCCCACCACTATGTCCTGGGGAACTCAGGTGTCCAAGTTCTACCCCCACCATCCCAAGAGAGATCCCAGAGAGGCACAAGACAGAGCTTTACATGTCCTGAGTGACCCTCTGGGAGGTGTGCTATGGCTGCTGGCCTCAGGTGGAGGCCATGGATATGGTTATCCATGAGCCCAGGGATAACCAGAGGGATTGTCTGCTTTGCAGACTCCTGACTGTGCTGGTGTGAAAGCAGCACTCCTGATCGTGGTCCCTGAGTCATGGAGTCACCTCTGCAGACAGAGATGGTGGAGTTGGTGCCCAATGGCAAACATTTGGAGGGGTTACTCCCACTGGGTATGCCCACCACAGGCAACCATAGGTGAGTAGAAGAGAAATCCTGTGCTGGCTCTGTGGTGACAGTACTGGGCAAGGGTACAGAGCTGAGTTGCCTGCCCTGGCCTGTGCCCACAGGGCTGAGGACCCCAGACAAAGCTGTGTGGAGGGCAAGAGCTTCCTACAGAAAAGCCCCAGCAAGGAGCCACACTTCACAGACGTGAGCTGGGCAGCCCAAGGGTCTTGGGGGACTGTGGGGAGCCTGGACACAGTAATGAGGTGCTCTGAGGCAGCAGTGGGAAGCTGAGAGACAGTGGAGGGGGTGCTACAACACCCCATTCCTGCTGACTCTCTACCCCTCCTTGCCCTACTCTGGTGGCTGCAGTTTGAAGGGAAGACATCATTCGGGATGTCCGTGTTCAACCTGAGCAATGCTATCATGGGCAGTGGTATCCTGGGACTCGCCTACGCCATGGCCAATACAGGCATCATCCTTTTCCTGTGAGTGCCTCAGTAAACCTTCTGAAGATAGAGAGCCCTAACAAGTGCCAACAATGACCTCCCAGAACCCGCCAGTTCACTGTCCAGTGGGTGGGCACCTCTTACACCAACCCAAACCACGGCTGCAAAAACATTCATAGCCGGACAAATATATCTCACTGCCCAGTAAACCCACAAGGCCATCCTTACAGTCCTAAGTCTGTTCTTCTACCATATTTACACGTGATGACCAAACCCTGTGGCCAGGCCTTGTGTGGGGACACTTGTCCCTGGGCCTAGGGGTTCTACCCTGCAGCCTAAATAGAAAACAAGTTTGTCCCAAGGACTCAAGGGGAGGAGGTGCCTCAAAGACAGTCATAGGATGCTCTTGATCCAGAGGGCCCCTTCAGACATGTGCCCTCCTGGGTGGCACCTTTGGAGCCTGCTGAGCTTGCATATACTCCTGTCGTGGGTCCAGTTACCCAGGTTACAACCCCTGCCCCTGGTCTTCCAGAGCTTCTCACCCCCTGTTCAGCCAGGGCAGTGCCCAGTGGCCTCTTTTTTTTCAATCTTCTCTAGGTTCCTGTTGACAGCGGTTGCCCTGCTCTCTAGCTACTCCATCCACCTGCTCCTCAAGTCCTCAGGGATCGTGGGTGAGCCTCCGGCTAGCCTGCAGAGGGGTGTCTAGGGTGGACTGGGTGAGCTCCCCTGACTGTCCTGGCCCTGTTTCCATAGGCATCCGTGCCTACGAGCAGCTAGGCTACCGTGCCTTCGGGACCCCAGGAAAGCTGGTGGCAGCCCTGGCCATCACGCTTCAGAACATCGGAGGTGAGGCTGGTAGGCGGGACAGGCAGAGAGTGGGTGGACAGGTCTGAAGGCTGGCTGCTTTTGCCTATCTTAGCATCTGCCCTCTCTCCCTCAGCCATGTCCAGCTACCTGTACATCATCAAGTCTGAGCTGCCTCTTGTCATACAGACCTTCCTGAACCTGGAGGAGCAGACCTCGTGAGCTTGAGTGGGGAGGGGGAGGGTGGGTTGCCCTAGTCCCCTTCATGTCTACCCCTGTGCCTGGGGCCCAAACTGGATTAGTGAAAGAGATAAGATAGAACAGACCCTGGTGACAGGCAGAGTGCTGCCAGCAGAGCTAGAATTCAGTTCCCACTTGTTTGTGGAGCACCTAAGAGAACCCCCAAGAGAAGACTCATGAGACTAAGGAAAGATAGGGCTGAAACAAAGTGGGGCTGAGGATGCTGGGCCCGCCTGGCCTTGGGCCCCGCCTGTGAGCCAAGAGCCTCAGGCTTAGCATTAAGCACCTGCTATTCCTGACCATAGGGTCAAACCCCCCCCCCAACACCAAGCGATTAAGCCTTGGGGGGAGGAGGTTGCCCATCACTTTAGCTAGCACTGACTGGGCATCAATCTTGTTTCGTGGGTGGGGACAGAGAAGAACTAACCAGACCCTGTTCTTGCTGCCCCAGCCCAGGCAAGCAAAGGGTCTGTGGGGCTGAGAGCATCTCTGAGAGGCAGGAAAACGTTAAGATTCTACCCCTTGGGCCCCAGAGGCCTTCCCCAAGGAGTTGTCTTTGGGTTTGCCCTAGAATGATTGTCCTGGCCCTTCTTCCCTTATCTGTCTATGCACATGTCCATTTCCAGGGGGAAATGGAGGGGCAGGGTGCTGCAAAATGCAAATGCCAGGAAGGACCAGAAGGGCACAAGTTATTGGCAAGCTCTTCAGACCCCTATGGAAAATACAGCCCCTTCCCAGAGCTAGGTCCCTTCGTCCGCCAACCTCCCTTGGGAGGCTGGACCCAGACCAACAGTGACTGCAATTGTAAGTGCTACCAACATGATCTATGTGCCAAGCCAGCACTGTCATCCTCACATCACATAGGAGTGTGAAACTGTGCCCATTTTGCAGATGGGCTCTGGGAGTCTGAGAACTATGGTTAAATATCCTTCAGAGGTTACTCAGTGGCAAATGGGGAAGGCAGGTGGCCCCACCCCAGGGTGAGTGGGCTCTGACCCTGGCTTTCCACTCCCATCCCTGCAGGGTTTGGTACATGAATGGGAACTACCTGGTGATCCTGGTGTCCGTGACCATCATTCTTCCCCTGGCACTGATGCGACAGCTTGGTGGGTGTGGCAGGGTTCAGCCTTGGAGGGGATGTGAGAAGGACACACAGAAAGTCCCAGTCTCACAGCCCCTCCTCCTCTGTAGGCTATCTGGGCTACGCCAGTGGCTTCTCTCTCAGCTGCATGGTGTTCTTCCTAATTGCAGTGAGTCACCCTCCATGTTCATGTTCAAGAAGGGGCAGCCGCCCAGGGGAGTCCTCTGTCCTCTGTCAGTAGTGGGAGGGATATGTCACAGGTCCAGAAGGCAGCTCCTTCAATCCTAATCTAGATGTGGCTTCATGGTGACTTTCCAGACCTAGACTGGTTCTGATACCCTCATCCCTCCCTACCCCAGGTCACCTACAAAAAGTTCCAAGTTCCATGTCCACTGCCACCCAACTTGGCCAACATCACGAGCAACTTCAGCCACGTGGAGGCGATGGAGAAGACACAGCTGCAGGGCAAGCCTGAGTCTGCTGCCCTCTGTACCCCGAGCTACTTCACACTCAACTCACAGGTTCTGACAGGCCAAGCCATGATAGGGATGGGGGGCCTGGTTGGGAGGGCTGCCTTGACACAGTCCCATGTGTCCCCAGACAGCATACACCATCCCCATCATGGCCTTCGCCTTCGTCTGCCACCCTGAGGTGCTGCCCATCTATACAGAGCTCAAGGAGTAGGTGTCTGTGGCTGGGAGAGGGACGGGGGCTACCTTGAGTTGGTTTGGGGAGAATGGATATGGTCCTAGGTGTGTGCTGGGGAAGGGACAGGACCCAAGTCAACTGATCAAAGACCTCCATGACTGTTAGAGGGGTGATTACAGGCAAGATCACTGCTGAATAGTGAGCATGTGGTACCAGAGAGACCCTGAAGTACATGGGGGTTTCCCAGTGTAGCCCAGCTTGTCACCAAGCCCTCTCCCCTATGACCCCACAGCCCCTCCAAGAAGAAGATGCAACACATCTCCAACCTGTCCATTGCTGTTATGTATGTCATGTACTTCCTGGCTGCCCTCTTCGGCTATCTCACCTTCTACGGTATGGCTAGATCAGTGGGGACAGGGACAGAGGCCAGGCTGGGAGGCAGGGGCTGGTCAGCAGCTAGATGCCCTGCATACTATAGGCGCTTATTAGGTGCGTGATGCCTGAACATGCCCTATAGCCATGAATGTGAGTCAGAGTGCCACTCCCCAGTGTCAGGGTCCACTGGGCAGCTCAGAGGCCAACGTCCTCTGGCCTGCTGACCACCCTCCCTGCCTGCCACAGACGGGGTGGAGTCAGAGCTGCTGCACACCTACAGCAAAGTGGACCCATTTGATGTGCTGATCTTGTGTGTGCGCGTGGCCGTGCTGACAGCAGTCACACTCACAGTGCCAATCGTTCTATTCCCGGTGAGCCAGAAGACAGGTGGCTGGACCAATGGGGGGTGGGACTGATGGGGGCTGATAGGCTTATGGCTCTTCTTACCTGCCCCAGGTGCGCCGCGCCATCCAGCAAATGCTGTTTCAGAATCAGGAGTTCAGCTGGCTGAGGCATGTGTTCATCGCAACTGGCCTGCTCACTTGCATCAATCTGCTGGTTATCTTTGCCCCCAACATCTTAGGCATCTTTGGGATCATCGGTGAGAATCTGGCACTGCTGTGAAAGTGGGGGATATTGACTGCAAAGAATTTCACTTCTGGAAATCATGTCAGATTCCTGAGCTCACAACCTTAAATTTAAATAATGGCTATTGGCTGTGTGCACAGTTTGATCTCCCATCTGAGTTATTGTCCTTAACACTACTGTAATCCCTTTTGAAGTCATTTCTCCTTGTTGAGAGACAGGGATGCACCTACCCGAGGGGACAGGGGTCTCCTCCAAGGATCTCATGGTGGTACATGCATATAGTCCCAGCTTCTCAGGAGGATGAAGTGGGAGGACCACTTGAGCCAAGGAATTTGAGACCAACCTAGGCAACATAGCAAAACCCCCTCTTAAAAGAAAGAGAGAGAGAGAGACAAAGAAACAAAGAAAGAGGAATCCCATTGGGTCTTATCCCCACTTCACGTATGAGGAAACTGAAGTCCACAGTGATTAGAGGAGCAACAGGGCCCCACAGCTGGGGATGGAGAGCTTTGATTCAGTTGCAGGATTATTAGATTCTAGGCTTGGTGTTCTGTCCACTGCACCATCCCAGCTGGCGTTCTAAGCTGGAAGATGAGACAATTCTGAAATCTCTTTGAGATAACCCACCTCAAGGGGCTGACTCTACAATCCATCATTCCAGGGTATGTCACACAGATCTGGGTGCTAAGTATCATGGATATCCTGGACAAAATTCTTGCTTCTGTATGTTGAAAATCCAACTCAAAATGCCAAGTGCCAGTGGCTCATGCCTGTAATCCTAGGTACTCGGGGAGGCAGAGATCAGGAGGGTCAAGGTTCAAAGCCAGCCTGGGCAAATAGTGTGTGAGACCGCCCATTTCCAAAAACAACCAGAGCAAAATGGACTGGGGTGTGGCTCAAATGGTAGAGTACCTGTGTTGCAAGCACAAAGCCCTGAGTTCAAACCCCTGTACCACACATACACACACACATACACACACATACAAAATCCAACTCAAAATGAAATAAGCAGAAAGAAATTTGGCCCAAATGGAAAAATTTCAAGAATAACTTCAAGCACCAAGCCCTGAGTTCAAACCCCAATATTTAAAAAAAAATGTTTATTTTACTCACAGTTTTAGAGGTTCCAGTCTATTACTGATTAGTCCTATTGCTTTGGGCCTGTGGTGAGGTAGCACATTATGGCAGGAGTATGTGGCAGAGAAAAACTGCTCCTCATATGGCCAGAAGTAAAAGAGAAAGAGGAAGAGACCATGATCCCACAATTCTCTTTAAGGACACACTCCCAATGGCCTAAGGACCTCCCACTAGGTTCCACCTCCTAAAGGTTCCTCCAACAGCATCTGTCTAGAGCCCCAGGATCCTCTAACACTTAGTCCTCCTAGGGTCTTCCATCACTTTGGCCTTTGGTGGTCAAGACGCAAACTATAGCAAGCTATATTCAGAACCCCAATATCCTTAAGGCTTCATCTGTCCATTATAATTTGCCTTTCCTCTTTACTAGCTTTATTCAATGACATTCTTCTGACATCAACAGCACCAGCCTTCCATCCTGGTGGACAGAGAACAAAGGGAGCAGCTGGCAGGCTCCCTAGAATCAGGCAGATCACTCAAGTAGAGTGAAATTCTCCCAACAAGGAATGTTTGATATCATTGAAGGGTCCACCACCCACAAACCTTAGCCAATAGGTGAATGTGAGCCAACAGTGGCCATGTTCAGTGGCTGTGCTCTGTTCTTTGCAGGTGCCACATCTGCACCATGCCTCATCTTCATCTTCCCTGCCATCTTCTACTTCCGAATCGTGCCCACTGAGAAGGAGCCTGCAAGATCCACCCCCAAAATCCTTGTGCGTGGGGCCTGGAGGCAGGTGGGCTGGTATGGGGCTGAGGGGACTGCTCTGACCTGAGACCTGACCCTCATTTCTGACCCCCAGGCCCTTTGTTTTGCTGTGGTTGGCGTCTTGCTGATGACCATGAGTTTGAGCTTCATTATCATCGACTGGGTCTCAGGGAGCAGCCCGCATGGAGGAAACCACTAGGATGACCCCCATCCTGTTTTGTCTACTTGTCCTAGCACCCGTGCCTAGAATCTCCAGCCCCTACTCACAGCCAGTGGCCAGGTGTGGGGCGGGGGGAGAAAGACAAGGGAATCAGACTTGGTAAACAATATGGCATTTGGCCCCTCCCATATCCTCTCTGTGGAAGATTTTTGTTAAAGAGCCAGGACCAAGGCCCTTGGGCCACCACCTGCTGGGCTTCAGAGCTGCAGGGGCTTCCTGAACTGGGAACAGGGTGGAGTTGTTCCCTCAGATCCCACCCAAACCCTTCATCCCCCTCTGCAGCTGCATTCACTAGGGCCCAGCATCTGCCTTCTGAAGTTGGGCATATAGAGCTGAAACCTAGGCCTGAAGGCTTTCCCGTGCCCGGCTGCAAGGCCAGGGTCTGCTTCCAGCAGACTCATCTCTGCTAGCCCACTTGCTTCCCCTCCTTTTATCTCATTGGCCCCTTTCAGACACTTGGACTAAGACCTTTGGATACTCTTGTCCTCTTCTTCCATCTCCTCCACAGGAGACTGTACCCTACCCACAGCTGGGGCCAGCAGGTTCTGCTGAGGATGGGGCTATGTACACACCTCCAAGGGATATTTGCCCTGTCCTTCACCAGTCCCAGGGAGGCTGGGACTCCTATACCCCAATCCTGGCCCATAGCTCACATTCCACTACTGGAAGAAGAGAGGCTGGGTCCACAGTGTCCTGCCCCTGAGGGCTGAAGACCCCAGGGACCAGACTGGGTCATGGGTGGGGAAGTTGAAAGCCCCTTTTATAAATATTATGCATAAGACCAGCTGTGGTTTATATTCTTGGTCTCCATGGTCCCTGAGTTTCTGGATTGGGGGCTAAGGGGTCAGGATATGGATGGTGATGGAATTCCCCCTGTCTCCTTCCCTGGATGAAGATGGAGACAGGACAAGACCCCGACCCACCCCACCTCCTGCCTCCCAGACCAACCAGTGGCATGCTGAGACCCGGCTCTGGGTCTGGGCCAAGCTCAGCACAAACCTGCTTTCTCACGGGGTGAGGTGGGGAGGAATTAATGAGGCTCCAGGAAGTGGGACAGAGAGAGGCCTCCGGAAGGAGGCAACGTGAGGTGCATCCCCAGCAGCTTCTAAGAGGGTCTGAGCTGGGGGCAGCTGAGTCCAACAGAAACCCCAGGAAGGGCCCCCTGCTCTCCCCTGACTACCAGGCTGCCATTTCAACCCTCTGTCAGTGCCTTGAGTATAGGGATAAAAATTCAGGAATCCTATGCTCTGATGAGCTGATCTTTTTTATTGATAGTAAAATCCACTATGAATAAAGGTGGGTTAGTTTGTCCCTGTGAGGTGGGTGTGGGGGGCTGAGTGAGAAAGAAGGAAGCAGGGTAGGGGCTGCAAGGAGACAGGACAGCCCCAGGTATCCTGGCTTGGGAGGGACTGAGAAGCTGCCCACTGCTTTGAGCAGGCCTGAACCAGCTGTAATGAAGCGGGATGGAGCTACCCAGTCCTTGGCACCACACCCTCATTAGGAGAGACCCTGCACCAGGATAGGCCACCAGGGAGGGAAAGGACAGCAGGAAAAATCTAGGCAGCTGCCAGCTCGGGAAATCCCTGGAGAAAGAATTTCCTCAAGCTAGTGCTTGCTTGGTTGGCTCAGGGCAGTGCCAGCAGGGCAGAGGGGGGCTTCCTGAGTCCTGTACCCATCAGCCCCAGGCACCTGACTCCAGCCTGGAGACTCACCCAGGAGCCCCAAGCCCCAGAAAAGAGCTGGACACTGGCCTAGAGGTGGATATAGCCCCGGGCACCCTGTTGTGAGGGGCTGCCCTCTGAGAGTCTCTGGCCTCTTCCTCATCAGATGGGGTTATAGGCCTGCCTGGGGAGTGGGAGGCAAGAAACAAAAAGCAGTCTATCCTCCAGGTAGACCTTGGGGGTCTTTTCACACAATCCCTCCATCCAAAGAACACCATATATCAGAGCAGCAGCAGGTCACCAGGCCTGGCTGCGGGCCTCTCAGACCAGGGTTAATGTGCTAACAGCAGCCCCAGCTAACACACCCACAGCTGGGGTGGAGGGAGAACCCTGGCCTCTAGACACCTGACCAGGGCAGTAGAATCCAGCAGGGAGGGGGAAGACAATGTGGCCAATCCACTAGATTCAAGAACCATGTGCTATACTGGGTGCCAGTGGCTCATGCCTGTAATCCTAGGTACTCAGGAGGCAGAGATCAGAAAGATTGTGGTTCGAAGCCAACCCCAGGTAAATAGTTTTCGAGGCCCTAGCTGGAAAAAACCCATCACAGAAAAAGGCTGGTGGAGTGGCTCAAAGTTAGGGTACTGAGTTCAAACCCCAGTACTGAAAAAAAAAAAAGAGCCATGTGCCCATATGACCATGAAATAAGTATCCCTTGTCTCTGTCAGGTTACAGTCATTCAGCCTCCATGAGAATGAGTCTGCAGGCCCGTGAACGTCATTAAGCATTTTCACATGTTTTGAATAATTTCCCAGGGTTTGGTTTTGGTTTTCTTTCTTTATGCTTTTTTTTTCAGGACTGGAGTTTAAAACCAGGGCCTTCTAATTGCTAGGCAGGTGCTCTTACCACCTGAGCCATGCTCCCCAGCCTGCTTTAATTATTTTTCAGCTAGGGTCTCACATTTCTCACCTGGCTAGCCTCAAACCATGATCCTCCCAATCTCTGCCTCCTGAGTAGCTAGGATGACAGGCATAAGCCACCATACCTGGCCTTCGTACTTTTAAAAAGTTATTCTGGGGCTGAGGATGTAGCTCAGTGGTACAGCACTTGTCTAGCATGCAGGAGGCCCTGGGTTCCATACCCAGCATGGCAATAAATAAATAGTTCTGAAAAAATTTGTTCTATTTGGAATATTGATAAGTTAGAGCACCCAGAAAGTCCTGCACAGATGTCATCCATATCTGTTTTTTGTTTTTCTTTTCTTTTTGAGACAGGTTTCTTTTTGAGACAGCCCAAGCTGGCATCCAACTCTTGATCCTCCTGCCTCAGTCTCCCAAGGACTGGGATTACAGAGATGTGCTACCATGCCTGGCTTTCACTGTTTTTCTTGTGACTGCTTATTACAGAAAGTTAAGATAATACACCCAGCACTCAGCAGACTAGGAGAGGAGGATGGAGAATTTGAGGCCATCCTGAATGACATAGTGAGACCCTGTCCCAAAAAAACAGAAAAGGAGGGCGGGGGAAGAGGTGGCCCAAACAAAGTATACAAATGTGAGTAAATGTAAAAACAATAAAAAAAAAACAGAAAAAAGGGCTGAGCTGGTGCCAGTGGCTCACACATGTAATCCTAGCTACTCAGGAGGCAGAGATCAGGAGGATCTTAGTTCAAAGCCAGCTCAGACAAATAGTTCCTGAGACTCTATCTTGAAAAACCCTTCACAAAAATAGGACTGGTGGAGTGGCTCAAGGTAAAGGCCCTGAGTTCAAGCCCAAGTACTAAAAAAAAAAAAAAAAAAAAAAAAAGCTGAAAGTGTGACTCAAGCAGTAGAGCACCTGCCTCAAAAGTAGCTGCCTTTGTCTACACCCTCCTCACCCATGTGTACATATACGTATCAACTGAAAAGGGATTCATCTACTCATTCAAGTTTTTGTTTTGCTTTTATAGTGCTAGGGATTGAATTTAGGGCCTCCTGCAGGCTAGGCAAGTGCTCTATCACTGAACTACCAAAAATGCCAGTGCCGTTTTTGGCAAGATTCTAGGATCAAAGTCAGGGATTCATGCATGGTAGATATGTATCCTACCACTGAGCTACACCCCCAGTCCTTCTACAAGTATTTATTGAAACTTTCCATGTGTCAAGTGCTCTTCCAAAACCTGTAAGCACAACAGTGAACAAAAGAAAGACGCTGCCTTTCTTGAACCTCCATTCTAGATGGGAGATTGGATTCAGAATAGAAATATTAAACATAACCACTAAGTTGTGTCACTTGTTAAAAAATATCAGTACTCTGTGGGAGATGAAAACATCAAGGTTAGGGCAATGGGGAACGAGAAGTTGGAGGTGGGCCAGGGTGGGCCTTGATAAAGATGGACTTTCCATCAGAGATGGAAAAAGCCATGTGGGTGCTTTCAGGAGAATGCTCTAGTCAGTCGGATCAGCCAGTGCACAGCTCTGAGGCAGAATGTGCCTGGCATGTGACAGGAACAGCCAGGAGGCCATTGTGGCTGGTGTTGGGTGAGGCAGACAGAAGAGACTAGAAGGACCTGGTGGGAGTTGATGAGGGGGCAAATGTGAAGCCCTGTCAGTCACCATAAGAACTTGGGATTTTTTACTGGATAAGATAAGAGCTGATGCTGGTCCTGAAAGAGGAAGATCTGATTTGGTAGTAACTCTAAGGAAATTTAAAAATTTTTGGTGGGGTTTGAACTCAGGCTGCACTCTTGCAAAGCAGACATTCTACCTCTTGAGCTAGGCCTCTAGTCCATTTTTGCTCTGGTTGTTGTGGAGATGTGGTCTTGTGAACAATTTGCCAGGGTTGGCCTTGAACTTTAATCCTCCTGATCTCAGCCTCCCAAGTAGCTAGGATTACAGGTGTGAGCTACTGGCAACCAGCAGTAATTCCAAGTTTTATATAGATTATTTCAGCTGCTGCATTAAGACTAGACTCTGGCATGGGGATGGTGCCAAGGATGACACTGACACATATTGCAGTAGTTTCAAACAGTTATGGGGTTGAGATCAAGGCAAGGGCTAGTCTTGAAGGTCAAAGTGGCAAGGTTCCTTGATGGCCTGGATAAGGGAAAGAGGCACAGATGAGTCAGGCAAGACTATCTAAGGATAGAGCTGTTACTGCAGGAAAATAGGGGAGGAGCAGGTTTGGGAGAGAAATCAGTGTGGCCCCTAAAGAACTGAAAAACACTGATTGAAAACCACAGTGAAGATGTCAAGTTGTGCCTTAGACTCAGCCATGGCCAGTCCAGTAACTCTGGTCTGAGAGGCAAAGTGAGTGGTACTTAAAAACCATGGGTCTGGACCAGATGGGAAGAAGTATAAACTGAGGAGGGCAGCAGCCAGTTCTGAGCCCTGGAGAGATGAGGGGGGAGTGACCAGAAGGTGGAAAGAAAACCAGAAAACTGTGGGTAGCTGGAGCCAGGCAAGAATCAGATGTTGTCAAGAAGAGGAATAAGGAATAAAGAGAACAGAGCGTCCAATACAGAAACGTGGGGATCACCAAGGACCCTGGGCAGGACAATTTTGTGGAGGGAGGGATAAGTCTGACTAGAGAGGGTAAAAGAGAAAGTGAAAAGCAGGAATAGGAGAAGGCAAATATAGACAACTGATGTTGAAGTGAGAAGGATAGAGCCAACCGTGGCTTTTAAGAAAAGACTAGAAAAGATGCTATTGTAGGGGAAGAGATTGGAAGAGGCTGGTCAGAGGTGGGCTGGAGCTAGGTGAAAGACTTCTGGGATCAGGGTGCTGGAGAAACAGCTAGATGACAGTAGTGGGAGATTGGACAGTAGGGCCTGGACATCAGGAGTGTGCAAGATAGCCAGTGATCTCTTGGTCAAGTACTGGTGGCTAGGATACAGTGAGTCGCGTATGCAGCCTAGGGACAACAAGGACCCAGGGGGACTCAACATCCAGATGTCTGCCTTAACCCCAGCGTAAAGTCACCCAGCAACTGACTTTCTTTCAAACACGTGTAGCAGCAATAAATGACTGAGAGTGACTTAGAAAGAGTAGCCACGAAAAAAATCTGAAAGAACAAAAGTGCTTTCAAAACTACGGGAGGCTGCAAACGTACAATGCCAAATACAATGGGCCTGGACAGCCTTAGCCAGAGATCAAGTCCCAGGCTGCTGGAGGGGCTCAAGTGGTAGAGCGCCTGCCTAGCAAGTGTGAGCCCCTTAGTTCAAACCCCAGCGCCGCCAAAACAAAAGCAAAACAAAGACAGATACAGGGATGGAATCCCCCATTATCTGCGGGAGGCGGCCTCTGCTGCCCCCTGGCGGTCAGCGGTCTGATTCTGGGCGGTGCGGTGACCTGGGCGGTGCGGTGACCTACGCGACACGTTGCCCAACCGGTGCACTGGGCCCTGGAAGGCTTCCCAGCTACTGCATGGGAGGAAGAAGTAGGCTGAAAGGTTCGGGGAGGGTCTGGAAGGGGAGATCGTCCTGGAGGATCTGGGTCTCCACCCTGGGTATCATGGGCTGATGAGTACAGCAAGGAGACAAGCCCAGCTTGTCGATTTTGGAGGACCCCCAAAATAGAGGATAGGGTCAGACCCCCAGACCCACTCTTGACTAAGTGCCCCGAGAACCCCTCCAGCTC